TGAAATGGATGAAATTATGACGTGTAGGTTTGAAACTGTTATTGAAAATTGTTCCACAAATGAATTACACAAACACACATCAAACAAAAACGAAGCACATATACCCATACATACGAGTACAAATGTACGTACACATGCGGTATCATCCACACATTCATGAGGCATGTAGGTATAATTTCTTTAGATTTCTGCTACCTCACATGTCAGTCCCTCCCTGGCCTCTTTCACTTTATGGTTCCTTTCGCTTCAGTTATCTTTTAATGTAGGCAACGCAACTTGGTAAAATAAGTCTCATGAAAGATAACTGGCAGATAGTCTAATATTTTTAGTGCACCGAGATGTGTAGACATTCTATGGAAAATGACATCTAACAAATTTCATTTGAAGGCCGACGATATAGTTAAATTGAGAAGTGTTGACAGATCTCATGTTAAAAATAGTCATTGGTAATCAGGCTCGTGGGCTGGTCAAAATGCCTTCACGGGCCAGATCCGGCCTGCAGGTTGCCGACCCTTGCTTTAGAGCAACACTATCAATCAATGCCTTATTTATCAATAGATCTATAGCAAAAATAAAAAATTGAAACTAACAAAGCTCATATTGTCACAAATTTTTATTATACAATGATTAATCATTAACATGGTAAGACATTCACATCTATACTCCCATGGCTAAAAATATAGTGAATTCTTTTTCACTTGATTTTACAAGGATAAAAATATACACAAAATTGTTACAAAAAAATGCAGCATACAATTATATTCAAGTATTTATCCCTATTACAAGGTAAAAATTATTGTACTACTTCCAATAGGAAAAAATTCCATTGATAAAATTAGTAATTGAAAAGCTTGCTATACTAAGAAATTATTGTAGAATTTAAAAGTAATTATACTCTGACTTGATATATAAAAAAAATCTAATACCTATCAAAAATGATAGGTCCAATTATGTCCATTTTGTTCAAATGAAAATTCCACTTGCAAAATTCAAATAACAAAATTAATTTAATCTCAATACAATCACAAGCTTATAAACTGAATATATGGATTTTCTTTCATAATCTAAAGTAATTTTTGTGCCTGTATGTAATCATAATTTTACTTCATCTAATCCATCCAGATTTATGACATAGTATAAAGTGAACTCCTATTTTATTTCCATTGTTTATCTGGCATGAACTATATAATAAAAATATCAATACATTTTTATAATTTATCTGAAATTTAATTTTAATCCCATTAAAACCTATACTTATGTGATATGGATAAATTTACTCGTTTTTCATTGAAAATGACATTTAAGTGTTGGATATTTTATGGATACCAATTTTTATGAAAATTAGTCAACTATTTTTTGGCTATAAATATTTTGCATCATGTCTAAAAATTTAACTTTATTCTAATAACTATCAACTTTTAAATCAATAGTTTAACAATTCATACTTCTTATTTATATGACATTAAAAAAAATCATTTTTAAAAATCAAGTGCTCTTTTTAAAAATCTACAAATTAAAGTATATGCAACAACTTGTAGAATATTTTAAAGCACAAGGGAAAAATCTAAAATATTCTTAAAAATAGAAAAAATACAATATATTAGACATGTCAAACTGAAATAATGTTAATAAATTGTTAGTTTAGCTTTGCACTTTTGAACTAAAATATATTGCGTTACTTGCTGGAAATAACATTTTAAACAGAAATCATCTGAATAGATGACATTTTGAAATGCCAGCAAATGTATCTGTTCTCAATAATAAAAGGGAATACCTTCACCACTACAAATATAAAAGAAAAAAATTACTTGTTGGCATGTACATAATGATTAATTTCCAACTGTTATTTTAAATTTAAAGAAAAAAAAATTGGAAATTTGAATTTTTCAAGAGTTCAAAACTTAAGTGATTGTTGCAGCTTCTGAACAAAATTAGGCAACTGATAAAAAAAAAACACCATAAAGCTTTAGTAGAATTGATTGCTTTAGTTAAAAGGAAAAAAATCAGTTGTGCTTACATGTGGCCTTGTAGCAAAACTAATCTAACAAATATGAAATATTGAAATACACAGATCACAAAGTATATACAAATAGTTCCTCATTTGATTAAGTAAAGAAATATGGAATATTTATAAATTTAACACTGTCCATTTGACATTTTTATGTATATACTAATTTGCTGATATAACAATGTCTGCATATAATGTTTATTATAGTGATACATCTTCAGTTTAACAAATGAGGAACTGAAAAAATATGGATTAAATATGACAAAATAAGAAAATGTTTGTAAATTTATCATAAAAGCATACAATTATATTCGCTCTTATGATAAATTCACAAACATCAGCAAATTAGTGTATACATAAAAATGTCAAATGGACAGTGATAATGATAAAAGAGCATTTTAAACAAAAAGCATAAAAAATGAATTCATGTTATAAATGGAAAAGATATAAACATGGAATAATAAGCCTTACAACATCATCCAATATGTACCCAAGAAAAAGTCCAAGAAACAATATGAGTGGCTATGTTTTGGCACTTTTTTCAAGTTTAAGGTTTTTGTTTTCTTTGGAACTCTAGTGTTCCAAACTTAATACAATCCTTGTGTAGAATTTATGAATTAACAATGTAAATTGGACATTCATTAAAATGTCAAATGTAAATTCCAGAGAGTTGGTGTATAAAGTAGTGAAAAAAGTACAAGTTAAAGTGAAAGAGAAAGACCATGAAATAAAAAAAGAATGCATATGGGAGATGATAAAAGAGAAGAAGCATGTTATTAGAATCTTCATTATCAAGAGAGAATTTTCTTCCTTAAACAAGGAAAGTGACATACATTTCAGTCTTTTTTTAAAATAAAATCTTTAAAAAAAAAAAAAAAGTCCGTTTGAATTTGACAAATAACAATTTTTCAAAATAAAATCACCAGCAAACATTTCAGTTTAGTTTTTGTTTAAACAATTATGATTTCTATAACAAGGCACCAAAAATTTATTACTGTAGAACTAATGCATTTAAATTTCATGAGATCATGAATATTACAGGAATTAAAAGTTAAAAAAAAAAACCCACAATCGTGTTTATAAGGAAAAAAAAAAAAAAAACAAGAAATCTCAATGAATATAAATATTTTTTGTAGATTTCAGAAATGATTCAGGAATTATTCTTTCTAGGAAAAGGAAGCAAAGTTAAAAAAGAAAATTCAGACAGGAACATTCCTTTGGAAATTTTTCAATTTCTAGAACTGTGATGTATTGCTATTTAGAATGATATTTTCCAGAAGTTTAAATGTTTTAAAGCACAACTTTAGATAATATGCAAGGATTGTGTTCCTGGTTTTGAAACAAACTTGACTATGTTTGTATTTGTGAGTCATTTAGAAGTGTGGTCAGTGATCCAGAGATCCATGAATGGCTTTGACAGGTGAATGTATTTTATGATCTAAAATATGATGCTTTATTTTCACAGGTGTAGGAACCAGAGCTGGCTTAATATGGACATTTTTTATGTCACCCATTGGATTCTTAATTATTCCATTTCGTAATGAAGGTTGGCTTCCTTTGTTAGAATCTTGTAGTAGCTGCTGTGAGCTTGGACCCTTCCCCACATTAATTTGAACCATTGGTAATTGTTCTTTTCTGTATCTTAGAATAGGAGCAGGACTGAGAAAGACAGAATTTTCTTTTTCTAATGAAATTGTTTGATTTTCAGTAAACTGCTCTAAAAGGTTTTTTGAGCTGGGACAATTAACATTTTTCTGGTGCAATTGTTCTCGTTTCTCAAATTCTTTAAGGACATATTTCTGACGGATTGCAGAAACATTAGTGTTGGATGTTCCATCCAAAGATCTATGCCTTTTTTTATAAGTCAAAGGTGATCTAAGACAAGTTTCACCAATGTTATCCATCAGTATTCCTTTATACAAATTAGGTGAATTTAAACAAGCCTTTATCATTTGCTTGTATTCTGTCTGACGTCTGTTTCCTGGGATGTCAAAGACTCCTGTTACTTCCATTTTCTCTTTTGTTTTGTATACCGAAAGAGGACTGGAAACCCTACGAAGACGGGGACCTTTTGTTGGGGTAGGGGCAGAAAAGCAATCAAAATGATTTACGTTTTTATAAAGACAAGGTTGTCCATTAGCATCTATATATCGTGTCCACTGAGAAGAAACATTTCCATTAGTTTCATGATTATTTTTATCAGCAGCATTAGGTTTCTGATTGCTGAAATGTCTCAAGTAATCATCAGCCTTGGGGATAGCAGGAGAGAGACCTTTTTGTTTTGGGGTTGCAGATATCTGGTCACAGACAAGAGAGGAAGATTGACTCACTTTAGCCTTGCGATTTTGTAAAGATGATGTTCTGTGAAAGTTTTTTTGGTCAGCAATTACAGGAGAAGAACAATACATCATATTTCTGGGTTGTATCAAGTACTTATCAGGAACCTGGGCCCTTTGGAGAATTTTCTTAGTCTCTCCTGTCACTTTTAAGTTTGCAATAGCAGCTGGTCGATGTAGTACCTGGGTATTTACAGCACTATATGATCGTTTCTTGGCATGATTATTCCCACTATTTATGTTGTGCTGAATACTCTGCAGGGAAGTACGTCTCCTCTCTACAGACCGGGAATGTGACATGTGAAGTTGAGTTGATTCATGGTTACATGGTTTTAGATCATATTTATTTAAGGTAGTAGAAATATTATTATTTTCAGAAAGTACACAATGGTTGATAGTCTCAGATTTCTTCTCTACATTTGCAACAAAAATAACGGTGCCACCTGAAATAGTGGAAAAACCATCATTTGACTGATCAGAATCACTGCTTTCACCATTGTCAATTAATAAAGAGTCCTTTACACTGTTTGTAAGAGTTACTTTATTTCCAGTCAAGCATTCATTAGATAACATGGAAATATCGTCATGTTTCTTAATGACACTGGCTACAGGTTTGGATTGATTGGGATTAGAGTTAACCCAAGGATCAGCAAAGCCTATAGAAACAGACACGGCAGCTGCTGGATGTGGACTATAGCAACTGCCAGTACTGGAACGGCGTGCTTGATGATTCCTAGTTTTCTTAGCAGCAGGAGATGCACAAGGAACAAGATTCTCCGATTTCTTTTTTTTCATAAACCTATGGAATGGGCTGGCACTTCTTTTACGCCGTCGGCTGCCTTTTCCATTACCAACTGCTTCTCTACAAAGGCCAAATTCTTGAATACTGGGTTCTTTCAATTTTGTCCCAAGATTCTTAACTTCTTCAATTTTCTGCAACAGATAACAGTATTAAAAACATAAAATGAGTAAATCATTATCATGATGAAATATTTCATCAGTTGAAAGAAAAAGTAAATTTGTACATTATAAATTATAAAAAACTATTTTCAATAACATTTACTTTATATTGGATATATAGAGTAGAGCTGTAAGAAAAACAAGAAAATCTAAGCTGCATAATTGAGGTGCAATAGAAATAGCAAAAAATAAAATAAAAATATCAGCATGCTTTCAGGCAGAGTAAATAAGTTTATTATGATAAAGTGGCAAAACTTACTTTGGAGCTTTTGGAAGCACAAAGTACTTGGAAAAAGGGCTTCCGTTTCGTTTTCTTTGATGGCGATGTTTTGTTTCTGTGAACAAAAATAGACTAAACAAAGTCAAAGAACTTCAAAATAGTTCATTAAGATAAATGTTCAAAATCCAATACTGAGTCAACATGAGAGAAAATCACAGACAAATAGATTGTGTTCTCTCCCACTGGTATTTATGGTTTTAAAAGTTGAAAACTTAACCCTATACATTTTTCAATATTCTACATACAAACTAGGTCTTTCTTTAATCTTTTCCAGACTGAATTAATTTCTAAATTTTACCAATTTTAATACAACTCAACTTTTAATTTTTTTTAACTACTTATATAAGTTAACCCTCATTCACATACACACTTTATATATTCTGGTAGGATTACATGCATGTAAGGGCATTTTTTTTTTTATTACTCATGAACTGATTTTGGACTATTTACATGGAAATAAAATATCCATATTATGCCTAGCCAACTAAATATGGCAATTCTGTTTGAAAAAGTTTAAAATTCACTTGTGCACTTGTTTGATATTCATTTTACAAACAGACAAAAAAAAAAATTAAATATTTTCAAAAGTTGTTGCATATTAATGATCACATATTTTGCCAGCCATTTTGGTTTATGCATTAATTTTGGACGTCCTATTCTCAAATGGAATGTTTTGATCATCAGAAAATAAAATGTAATGGGTTCTGTTTAGAACTTTAGGTGACAGGGCAAATTATGCAAAATGACAAAATTCATCATGTTTTTTGAGAATACCTAAGACGTAGGCTGTGGTCATGCTGATTTTGATTAAATTCAAGACATCCAAACCAAACAATCAGTCACAGCTGATTTAATTTTCCACACAAAGAAAGTGTCATATATGTTTTGTTTCCAACACAGCAACTAAACTTTAGTTGAATCCACAACTGAGCTGGTCTTGATTTTCACATATTTCACTTGTAAGAAGGAATAGCATTTTAATATGAAAACATCAATTTATCAAAACACAATTCAAATTAATATCTTATAAAATCTTAAAGCACAAATAAAACATTTCTCCACTGCCAACAATATACAAGTTCAATCAAGTAGTTGCACCATCAAAAACCATATAACACAAAACAGTTGAAGAATCAAGAAAAATAAGAACAGACACCTTTTTATGAGTACCCTCTTTTCATGCTCACATAGATTGTTTCACAGTCATGCACATTTGATACAACTCTACTTTACCATTGCACTTTTGTTATATTAACCAATTTTCTATACGTGTATGTGTAATCAATTTGGATCATAGTTCTAAAGGTTATTAATTTGTTGCAATTCCATGAAGTTTAGTGCTAAACATTTATTGCTAATTTAAGATAAAATATATAATTAAAATGGCATGGAAAGGATTATCAACAATTGTAACATGTTGATCTTTAGAGCTATGTCCTAAATACAGAGCAAAAAGGAAAGGTAACTAGCCTGTGAATTAAAGTTGGATAAAAGTGTAGAAGGAGGCAAGAGTTTACCAAATTACAAGATAGGAAAATAATCAATGTAGCATATTGGACAAAAATAATATTGAGGTACATTTAATACTGTTTGAAAGATTGCTTAGAAAAGGTAAATCTGCTAAAGCACCCAGTATGTGGATTGCACTAGCATAAGAGAAACAGCAAAAAGCCTCATAAATGCATAGAAACTAAGACATTGGGGATTAAGGTAGTTACTCAGAACCAAGAGAAATATCTGAAGTGCAACAAGCTGCATATTTCAAGGATCTATGAAAGCTGTTTGTGAGGGAAGACACCCCCACCTACCCACGAGTAGTGCTTGTTTGCTTAGCAGAATCTTAACCCTTTGAGTGAAGATAGAAATAAGAAAATGAATTCCCGTAGAATCAAGATGTTGATAAGGCAGATTACTAGCCATGCAAGGAATTTATGGGAATGGTGGAAGAGGCTAAATATTGGGAATATGAAATGTTTTACAGTGTAGGGCACATGAAGAGTGATCAACCTAAACTCAGGGAGCAAGTACACTGAGCAGAAAATGGCTGATGGCCACTTCCCAGAAATCCATAAAAGAAGCAACCAATGTTTATGTGAAATTGTGTAACAAAAAAGTGAAAATCTACTGTAAAGAAATGAGAGAGAATGTCATTTGGACAGCAGTACTATTGTTGACGTTGATTACTTAAGAGGTTTTACAAGCAGATATAGAAATAGATTGGAGGCTGAAATTGAGAAAAGGCTAAATGAATCATAGCCTTTGTGTTGCCAAAGGGATACAAACTATTGATAGTTATTTGGATAAATCAGCCAAGGCACAAATATAGATCTAGGACCAGATGGCAGGAAAAGTAAAATAGGCTCATGCTAATTTTATAAAACGCCTTATATATGACAAAGAAATTCTCAAACTCACTGAAAATTATGAAAATTAAGGGCCAAAAAGAGACTAAAAGTAAAAAGGACGAGAATACTCATAAAGAATGTGCTAAATATTAACAACTTTGGATGCATAGCAGAAGACTCTTAGTCAAGAATTGCATTTATTTTGAATGTTACAAGCATAGACATAGCAAAAATTAGGAGGAGGATGACTATCAGTCACCTGAATTTCTGAGCTACTGGCAATGGATATGATACTCTGCAATCTCACAGAAACAATCGCTGAAATCACACAAATTAGAATTTGCAAAACAATTCCTGCAAGTGTCAGTAGTAGTGGTAGTAAGGAAAATTAGCATCACAAGTATACTCTGATCATTTGTGAATTTTTATGCTGATGATAAACAGTATATGGTTACATCTCCAAATCTTTAGATAACCAGAGTTTGGCAGCTGATCTCTCCTCTGACCTAACTCTAACAGCTCAGTAGGGGAAAAATTGGGTGGTCACATTCAATGAAAGTCAAACTATTGGCATTCCATCATCACTTAGCAGAACCAGAACTTTCACTGATTGCATTGAATGGGTGTTTCCTCAGGAAAGCCCTGTGACTTGAGCACCTAAACTCAACCCAGATCTCAACTGGAATTCACACATACAATCCATTGCTAAAGATGCTGGAAAAATGATTGGTTGACTGTACTGCTCCAGTAAATACCTAGCTCTTGTTTTCTCTACCTTCACAAGAGCCATATCAGGCCTAAAATGGAGTACTGCTGCCATATATGGGAAGGAGCTGTCCAGTCTTTATTTTTCAGTCTCAATAGAGTTCAGAAGCATTTCCACATCCTTGTGGATGATGAATTACTTTCCACCCTTCTCAGACAAAATGTTGCAAGACTCTTGCTACTCTATTGTTATTTCCATGGAAAGTGTTCAGACAGAACTACGTTCCTTAATTCTAACCTTCATGGCTAAAACCCATCATGCACATTGTAGCAAACTACCCTCATCCCCTTCATATTCCCTTGGTGAAATGTAAGTTCCATTCAAGCAGCTTCTTCCCATAAACCAATTTTGTGGAACTGACTCCCAAGAGGATGCTTCTCTGAACACTACAATCTTAACCTGTTCAACTCTAGGGTTACATATTTAGTCTAGTCCTCACATATTTCCATAAACTGTGCCTCTTATTCTATAGTCTTCAAGTGTCTCTTGGGCATTGTACAGAGTGATCATCATTGTAACAGAAAAAAAAGTATATTCCTGTCCTCAGAAACATCAGTTGTTATCATGTACTTGTATTAGGTAAACGTGAGTGTTATGTTTGCTGATTTTTTTTTTCTTTTTGTAATTTTTGTTACCTTAAACTGCAGATATCCTTATGGGTAACAAAGTGAGAAAGAAAAGGAAGCATCTCTCATTATCAATAACACAAAAAGTAGAGCTTTTGCAAAAGCTTGATCACTGTGTTCCTGTGCAGTGCCTGACTGAGGAATATGGATGGATGGATGTTGGATTTAACGGCATGTCAACTCCTATTGAGGAATATGGTGTCAGAATAACCACTGTGCATGAGTTAAAGAAACAGAAAGACAAGTTATTTAAATTTTATCATGAAAGTGATGACCATAAACTAATAAATAAGAAAACACTACATACAGCAAAAAAATGAAGATCTTGACCATGTGCTAATTGAATGGATTCAACAATGAAGACATGAACATATGCCACTAACTGGTTTGTTGGTTATGAAACAAGGTAGAATATACTGATATGTATATTTTAGTGATCAACAGAGAGGCATGAGAGCGCAACATATATTTTTAGTTTATTGTTTGATGCTGTTCATTTATAAGTTACACAAGGCATTGTTGATCAGAAATAAATAAAATTTATTCATTACTTATGGTTTTAATTATCCCTTCATTTCATTTATCAGTATATTACTCTATAAATAAACTGTGATAATATTTGTAGTCTTTTTTTATCCCTTGTGGTGTGAGTATTCATATCTTTTTGCTGCAATATTATTTGAATTTCTGAAATATAACTGGCCACAAGGATTTTGGATATGGGATTGTGTACCTGAACTATCTTTTTCTAGTAGCCAAGTAATTCATAAATAAAGGAAAAGGAAGTATTGACACAGCAAAAAGAAATCTGAAGCAAGGAGATCATTCCTCACTTTAGTAAATAAGGTTCAACAGTGAATGGGTTGCTAAATTTGACTGAAAAAAGTTACAGCTCACATTATTTGCCTCTGGATCTTGATAGAAAACTTAGAAAGAATAAGAGATTGACTTCTGAAGAGTGTTACAAGATAGACTGGATATAATTAGCAGGAACATTACTCATCACTATAATAGTAGTTATCAATAGTAATGTAGAGCAAGATGATTTCCAGTGACATGCAAATAGAGAGACAAATTCCAGATATAAGAGCTTGTACACCCTTCATAACATCAAGGAAGCACAAAGTGATATACCAAGGGCAAGTGAAGTGCAAACAATGTGTTGCTCCAGTTACTGTCCTCTGATTTGTCTGTGGGCATATTGACAATCAAGTATTCTGATGAATTATACATCCTGTTTGCATTCTACCACACAAGCTTATCTCCATTGCTGTGTTTGTCAATATAAAAATAACATCTTTTGACAAACTTAATACACCCAGCTTGTGTAAAAAGCAAAAATTTATCTGTAAAATATCTTCCTCAAATTAATATCTCATAATTTCAAAAAATATTTTCTTTTAAATGAGCATCTGATGTTCTTTTAAGCTTATGTTTACACTATAAAACTGGTTATAACATTGTTTTGAATCAACAGCAACAATAAACATTAAATATTCACATGCTGCAAGCCTAGTATCAAGTGTAAGCAAATCAGTTATCCATGATAGTAGAAATCCTGTAAAGACACTTTCTGCCATCAGCAAGGTAAACTGCAACAGGTAAGAAAGAAAAATAAAAGAGACTGAAGAAGTTAATAATGTGAGAGCTTTAAACTGTTATTATCAGAAGAAAAAAAGGGTCAAAACAGTTATACAAAATGAATATTTACCTGTCAGGTGTGTTTGGCAACAGGTTTGCTTTCAAATCGTACTGGTTTGAGTCATCTAAAACATAAGAGAATAAAACATACATTAATATAACAGCTTTTTTGCTGAATGAAATGAAATGGCTAAAACAAATTTGATTAGATATATAACTTCCTGGTAAAAATTTAGTAATAAATTAACTTTATTAAACAAACCTTGCATTCTTGAAGTCAACTTCCTTGAAGGTGTGTTGGGCAACAAATGTTGCTGACCAATGATACCAGCTTTCCTGAAACAGAAAAGGCACATCTGAAGAAATTACTTTAGAAACAGAAAAAAGATAATACTTTTCAGTTTCATAAAACTGGGCAGATAATTTTATATAATGAATGCCAACAAATTTGGGATTACTTGGTCTACAAATTCATATCCAACAAAGTCAGTTTTAAATAATGATGATAATGTGTGCAGCAAGCAGAAAACAGTTTGTTTGACAAGTATAAATTATGTACAATCAGTAGAAATAAATAGCAGAATGACTATGTTTAGCTTTACACAGATAATGTTCTTTATAGCGTTGCTGAAATTTTATTACAAATATACAAAAAAAACAAACTATATTGCTTGTAGATCATTATTAATGTAATGATATACAAGCAATATAATTTTTAACTGACAACTTGCTATTCTGCCTTCTTCAGTTAATGTATAATACTAATTTACGCTGGACATCTAAGGATTAGAAACTGGGTATTCATACCGTTTTGATGCAGACAATCCTGAAGTAGCCATTTCTTTTGGAGCTTTTCTTTTCCCAAGAATAACTGGAGTAAGCTGGACAGGCTTATCAGTAGAAGATGCATCTGAAACTTTAGTAAGATCTGGAGAACTGCGAGTTATACTGGATCTGCTGTAACTATTATTACCACTACGATGCCAACGTGTGATGCTCTGAGCAATTGTGCTCACAAAACCTTGAAAATAAAAAATATTGAATTCATAACATGAAAGAATTTTTTTTTTTAATTTTGCAGGTACTGTAAGTCAAAACCACTAAGTAATAAATGACCCAAAAAGTTAATGTGGTTTATTAAATAAAAATAAAAGAACAATTATTTTTATTTTCAAAATTAACCATATTATAGAATTATTCTGTTCCACCATCTTTCAGGTAACTTCATAATTCCATCCTCTAGAAAATTTTGTCTTTCTTAGTAAAGAACTGATGTAGATGCCTTTTGTGTTCTTTTATGGAATTGAATTTATTATTTATTTTGTTAATAGCATTCTTTGAAGATTGTAATAAATAGTAATTTGGTGCAAATGATTTTCAGCATTTGATCTGGCTATTTCCTAGCATGAGATAACATTGATGATTCTCATGTACTGATTTCATCTCTACCAACATTAACTGGTTTTCCTGGCCATGAAGCATCATGCAGCATGAAAGTTCATTTTTGATACATTTGATTCAAAGAATCAAATTTTTATTTAAAGATACACAGATACAACAGCTATCAAGATACAATTTAAAGCTTTAATTTTTAATGGAGCTATTTAAAACAAAATACTCCCAATATCACCTAATATTGAACACAGAATTTTTTTTTTCACTAACCCAATACAGAAAAATATTAGTAAAGATTAAGACTGCATGAATTTCATTCATTTTTATACTTAATTATTAAGAGTCTATAAAAAACATTGCAATCATTTTTATCGGACTTACGAGTAACAATATATTGAAAGAAAAATTATCTGGAAAGAAAGAGTCAGGAATATTTTTTTTTTATATGCTAAGGTGGTTACTTCGTTAGATGATCAGATTAACAACCAACCAAAAAAATGTGTCAGTTCAGACAACCTAATATAAAATTTTATTTATAAATAAATTCAAAAGGTATAGGTTTTAAATGTTAATATGAGCTCCTTCACATTCTATAACTTTCATGAGTCTTTCATATATTTTGTTAGTTTTTCTATTTGTCTTGACTTTAACATTACTTGCTTCAGTTTTTATTGCTTCCTTGAATATTGCTTTCCACTCTTTTAATGATGTACCACGTGTTTTGTATTAGGTTATTATTTGGATAGAAGCCATTCTATTAATTTGGTACACCAAAGTGAAATTTTATTGTCAGTATATCTAAAAACTTTTAATACAGACAAAACATAAGAAAATTGTACCAAATTTATCTTGGTAGTTTAATGCGCAATCAAGTTAAGACCATTTAAAGCTGGAACTACTTAGGTCTCATGTAACAGTTTTAACAGTATGACTAAAGATACAGGCTTCAAGCAAGTGAAAAATCTTTATAAGTAGTTTTGCAGTAAAAGAAAAATAATACTAATGGAATCAATAATTATTAACTCCTACCAGTCTAAACATTGGGGAAAAATTTGAATTTGTTTATAAGCCTCTGCTAGCACCAATATTCCTGGAACACTCCATATCCTATAATCTCTTGAAATTGGTATCAAAGTCCCATCTAAAGACAAATTTTGATGCCACTTGTGCAATATCATCCAACAAAAGCCATCATTTCTGCTTTTGATTGGAACTAACATTTTGATTACAGTACTGGACAGAGATGTAATAACAATGACTTGGTCAATGTAAGAGTTGGAATAATAGTATACTGCAATCCATTGGCCTTGGTGCTCATAACTGAAGGTTATTTGAAGTGGTTCCTCTTCAACATAAATGCTAGAGTTGTTTAAATACTCAGATTCACTGTGCCTTTTCTTCCTTTGTTCCTTCAGAGGTGGAGATGAAGTTCCATTAAAATTGTATCACTGTAATATCTATTCTCTTCATTACAAGCTTTTAACTTTAACAGCAAATTTTCATAGGAATTTGGGGTATTCTTCCCACTTAGAAAACTTCTCAGAACACTTAGTAGAAGATTAAATGTAAATTTTATTCTGGATAATGGGGGTCTCTGGTATGGAAAGCACTAATACATAAAAGAAAGACAAAAAATAAAAAGATACCTACTTAAAAAATGTTATGCTTTTTATCTTCCATTATGGCTTAAGAAAAAAAAAGGCACAACACTGCATGAACATACATTTTTTTTTAAAGAAAATGTAACAATTTCATTTTAACCTATAACATAGGATCTAATCTTTAGAATCAGTAAATTAGGAAAAAAGAAAAAACTAATTACATTTTAATTTTTTTATGGATCCATACACTTAAGCTAAAATCTTGTTCATATTTTATTTTTTATAAAATGTATCCAATTTCATTTTTTTTTTTTAAAAGAAAATGTAAATAAATTTTCAATTTAATCCCCGAACCTTAAGAATTAGAGAAAATATTACCAGCCACAAATGTAAATGAAATGAATCACCAATTATTTCATAGTCAGGAAAGGAAACTGAACACTGTGTTTAAAAATTTATTTTATTTTTTACAAACATGAAAAAATTTAAAGAACTAAAAATATATCCACTTTATATATTTTATAATATGCATTCTGTTTAATGTTTTTCTAAGAAAATACATAAAAACAACAAATGAGTTGAAGGTGATTTGAACACAACAGTTCGGACAAAATACAATAAATAAGTACTTTATATAGTTGCTTCATTAAAGAACATAAAAGATAAAATTTTAAACTGTTAATATTCATCAATGAAACAAGTTCAATTTAAAAGATCTGATGGTGATGTTCATTCACTTGGTCAGCAATACAAATTTTGGTGTTGAACAGTTTTGCAATCAAATGAAATGAAGTATTCCCTTTTGTTTTAATTTCAGTGCATATTACAAGTTGTATGGGTAAAGGGATATTAAACTAACAGGATTGTTCTAAAGGATGGGTAATTTTAATTTTCTTTTTTTTTTTAAAAGAGTTAAATTTCATCCACTAAAGTTTCAAGAAAACTTCAAACCTTATCTTAAGAGCACCAAATAGACGAGTGTCTTTTTTTCTTTAAGATGGGAATATTTTAATATATGTAGGGACACACAACTATGAAATTGTCAATTTTGAAAATGTGGAAAAAGAACTGACTGTTTTTGAAATAGTGACATAATTTAAAGAGACATGGAATAAAAGCTAATTATCACACATAAGAAATAATTGTATCTTTATAAGAGGAAAAGATTAAATTTTATTTACATACTAATTGTATCAAAATTACCTAAAAAGTAAATGAGATATCAGCAGTTGAATTAGTGATGGGACACTACCAATATTTTTAATGATTCCGATACAATTCCCAATACTGTTCTAAATTTCCAATTTCAGTACGATTCTGTATCTAAAATGATCAAGATTCATTATTTTCAGGTCTTGCTGTTGGTTTGGGAAACTTAATGAACAAAGTACATTTATTAATAAAACATTTAGTAGAAAAATGAATACAAAAGCTTATGAAATAAAGTTAGATACCCTTTTTATTAAAAAATTTGGGTAAGAGTTTAAACAAGAGATCAATTTCTTCAGGCACTTAAGTTAACTACAATTGACATATTGCTTTACTTTGGAAAAGAAATCTTAAAACATCTCCAAACTACGCTTTTCTGCTTGATATTGGTAACACTTGCCATAATTGGGGTCTAAAAATAATGAAAATTGGTTAAAATTTAAATTTTTCACTGTTAGTTAAAAAAAATGTTTCTAGTTTTCTAATGTGTATAATTTGTAAAGATTCAGCTAATAATAGTTTGCTATTAATTGTAAAATAAAAAAGGGTGCTTTTTTTGTCCACCTTTTAAGTTTTGACAAGCAAAGGTGCCCTCTAAATATTATGCAATCTCTTTAAAATTTTATATGTGGCATTTTTCAATGAATGGAACAAATTTAGGGGTGACAATTCAATTTCAGCATTCACTTCAAAAATAAGAGACAATCTAATATTATATAATATTGCAACAATAATGCTCTAAGCAAAAAGGCATCATCCTATGTATTGTGGTTTAACTCATGTATATATTTTGATAAAGTACAAAGAGTACCTAAATCCTACAGGACTGAATAAAAATTAAATACACTTTTTAAATTTGCTTACAGACATTTAACAAGAATTAAATACAAATTATCATAGCAACTTAATAAATAAATAATAAAGAGTTTTCAATCTTTTCTAAAAAAAATTTATACATTAATAAGTTTTACTGTATAAAATAAATTTCTCACTACAAAAATTTAATAATTTCTAAAAAGAATCAAAAAGTGTTTTATTTTTGTTAAAAGAATAAAGAGTGCAACAACACAGTCCACTTTTTTGGTGAAAAAACAGCATAGCATGATGAAAAACTTAAAAACAAAGTTTTATCATGAAAATGTTTATTAAGAGGAAAGACCAAAGTATTTCTTTTATTATTTATTAAATTTTTTAATCCTTTCTAGCACGTTCAAAATTTTGGTTAAAAATCTTGTTTTTTTTTTGTCAGTGGTTGACATAATATTTACAATTAGAGTTTTTGTGCTTTTTTCTGGTGAAAAACACATTCATTTGGAAATTCCTGCAAAATCAAATAATTGTCAGATTTTAATGAAAATTTCAGGACTCACAAATGAATTAAATTATTTTTTTTATATTTTTTTTTAAGAAAATCTTGGTAAATATATATTTTTTTTTTTCATATGTTAGCCACCACCCCACACTTAATTTAATGAAAATTAAATTTTCATTAAAAAATTTTCTTTATTAGTTAATAGCAGGACTCCTTGGAGAATGTAAATCAACATTTTTTTTTTTTTTCAAACTACTTTCACATTTCTCCAAAATCTGCTCTGAATCGTAAAATAATAAATGCAATAAAACTATGATGAACACTATTGCCTTAAGAAAAATTTTTTTCTGATGAATAATGACTTTTTCATTTTTTTTTAAAATTTTAACTATTTTTTAAAAATTCTCTATTAAAGTCGGTCTTTTATATGATATTGTTATTAAATGAAAACTATATTTACTAATAAATCAAAAATTGAAAAGTTTGCCCCAAGATTTCTAAAATAATTTAAAAGTTTTTTATGAAATATTACGTAATGTGCCCCTATTTGAGAGTATGGTCAACCATATGTGACATTATCAGAAAATAAGAGAGCAATGATTATAGTAAATTTAAAGTCAACATTCCTGAAATTAAATTACAGAGAATATTTTCCAACATTTTTAAGATTACTTATTTAAAAATTATATAAATAATGTGCTCAGCCATCATTTTTTTTAATTATGTTTTAGCAGATAAAGTCTCTGTAGACCTGTCAACACCTCATGAAGTGATTGACAAGCGATGTACTGTTGTTTTAAAAATCCATTACTCTGTTATTTTCAAGTTAAAGTAAATAATATTTATTTCAAATCAGATTAATTATACTTTAAGTCAGCTAATATTCCTCAAATAAAGTTTTAAAAAAACTATATTTTATTTTTGGAAAGTTTTTAAAACTGAGAATTAACTTTTGTCAAAAATGTCCAATTTTAATGATTTTACTGAAAGCAATCAAAAAGTTGAGATTCCAATCAATATAATTTCTATTTGAAATACACCAGAATATTTTGCTTACTGGAAATAGTAAATTTAATCATTTAGCTTTCAATTAAAGCTAAAATGAAAGCTTCAAGAATGGAAAAGGTTGTTGGGAACACCATATACATGCATATGGGCCAAGAACAAAAATTATTTTGCTCGGTCCCAGTGACTGCTGGCATCAATATTACATCAACCTTTCCTCTCTTACTGCAATGGGGAAGATACTGCGGTAGGGTCGAAATCCCAGGGACTGAGCAAGTTCTCCCATCTAAAAAGGAGAAATGCTACTCCACAGAAGTTAACTCCTGTGCCAGGTAAGTACCTAAGCATGTTGACTAAGCACAAAGACAAGTTCACACATATGAAGACTAAAAATGTATTAGGAGAGTTAGATTACAAAGCCTACTCAGAAAAAAATTTGCGTAAACTTTTACAGGGTACTACTAGAGCAGTTTGGGATACCTACTTTGAAACCATTTTTGGCAAGATGGAGAAGAGTTAGCTTTGCAGAATGTGAAGAAGCTTTGCATTAGAGATGTGCGGTTTAACAGAAAAAAACATTTTTCGGTTTCATCTTCACAGTGAAACTGCATCAAAATTTTTTATGAAACCAAACAATTTCAGTTTTGTTTTTATATCACTACTGAGTGACCATATCCAAAGAAACACTATTGAAAAACACTTTCAGAAGTTAATAAAATTATATTTTAATCAACATTTATACCATTGTAAGAGAAAAATATTGAACAAAAATGCTAAAAACATTTAATTGACTAGTTTTAGGAAATAAATGTGAAATTTGTTTATAAAAGAAATGAAGAAGAAAAAAAAAGAAAGAAATACAACATGATGTCTGAAATCTTTTTGTTTCAGTTTAAAAAAAAAAAAAAAAAAAAAAAATTTTTGTAAAATTAAGTTAACAACAAAAAAATAAAAAAAAAAAAATAAAAAAAATAGTTGCAGTTTCATCTTAATGTTAAATTTTATGAAGTCGGATTTTTTGTAAGGGTTTTCTCGTAAGCCAATCACGAAATAAAGTTGTTGTAAACAATAAAAATGAATGAAGATTTTTTTTAAATAAATAAATTTGTTTTTATCTAGGGTATGCACTTAAATTTCACTTTTAAGATGTGTATATTTCCAGATAAGTGAGTTTCTGTTTTCTACAAATAAAATTATGTTTCTATCTAGTGAATACACGTAAAATTAGATATTAAAAAATAAAGTTTTAATCTCAGTTTTTTAAATGTGTATATTTTCAAAACTGCAAGTCATTTTTTAAACTCAAAGTAAAAATTAATTCTTTTTTAGTCACTAGTGTTTGCTGGGTGTTTGTTACTGTTCTGCCTATAAAATTCTTCTAAAGAAAGAAAATTAATTCATTTTATTTTTACAAATATCTTTACTTTATGGTTTTATCTGGCAAATAATACACTTAAGTAAGATAATATTAAAATGATTAAAATAGTTTTTAATTTCAGTTTTAAAATGTGTATCTAAAAAAGAACAGGTGATACTCACAGATTTGTAAATCTACACGTTGAAGTTTTTTGTTTTTTTTTTGCTTACTTTATAATTTTTGAAGGAAACCGCTTCCTCAGGTCAGAGAAGAAATTAACATCTTCCTGGTTAAGTTTAAGTTTTGACCAAACCCCAATAATAAATTTTTTTTTTTTTCGGGACTAAATTTTACACATTTTTTTTTTTTAAAATCAAAGTGACCAATCTTTATCAATATTCGTGAAATTGTACACTCAATTTTCTAATTGAGCGTACAATTTCACAAATATTGATAAAGATTGGTCACTTTGATTTTGCAAAACAAAGTAATGTGTAAAATTTAGTCCCGAAAAGAAAAATAATTTCGCATTTTCAGCTGGTCAAAACAATACAGTTTTAACTCGCTGTAAAAAGATAATTCAATGAATGAAAGCACATATAAATTACATATTTAGAAAGATTATATTATTTTCTTTCCAGCCATATGAATATTTTTAAGAGTGAACCAGAAATACACAAGATATCGAGAGTTTAATGGATTAAGTATTATCAATCTCATACAAAATCAGATATTGACTGGAAATGCTATCATTACACAAAAAAATGAATGGCTTCCTTAGAAAGCAAAAATACTAAATTAAAAATGGAAAAACCGAACCAAAATCTATGGTATCAAAGAAAACAAACCTATGAAGTGACCTATAATCTCACAGACAATACTAGCTCAAAAAAAATCACTTGACTAAAGCTTGGACCCTTCATAGAAATAATTAACCAATGTGACTTACAAGACAATAGTGAGGAGGTATTTGGGGCAATAAATTATAAATCACTTTAAAATTGATATCATAAACAAAAAGATTTAAGGTCTTAGAAAATTTTACCAATAACAATAATTGAAATATTAAACTGCATAATAAAAAGTGATAGTGTAGATAGTGAAAGAATGAAAAGGGTGGAGGAACATCATATAATTTTCTTAATTCTGAAATATGTCTGAGGTAAAAGATTTGAAAGAAAATGAGTTCTGAATCTGAAGTTTGCTTGGATACACAAGAAACTGGAAGAAGCAGCATTCAAGTGCTGAAGTTTTACTAAATGAGTGGAATTAGTTTCTCACTACTGTTCAGATTTAAACATTGCCCATTTTTTCCTAGTGTTATACAATGTGAAAGTTATATTAGCATTACAGTTTTTATCAATTTCCATGAATTTGTAAACATACAAGCACTTTTTTTCTCATCTGTATTGCTTTATTTCTGTAAAGTTCTATCGATGCTTGGGCCAAACGTATACACAGCATTCTGACAAATCAACACTACTGATTGGCTAAACCTCCAAAATATTGACAATTCCTAATCAGTTTTGCCAGAAGTGGATTTTTCATTTCCTTGTTGAATACATACTATTTTTAACCATTTATCAGAAAGTGGAGATGTTTTCCTTAAAACTAAATATTAGAGCAGTCTCAAGGCATTGAAAAGTACAGGTTGCAGCAAAAAATACTTCCCACATAATGATAAAACATGAACTAAATGAAGATGCCATTGCCACTAATATCTTACCGTTATGTGGGAGGTATTTCTGCCATACTCTATATAAAAGGCACATTTATGAGCAAAGATTTTCAGAAACAGACATCACTTACATGACTATACACTAGTTTAAAATATACCTTTTCCACTTTGTATATAACCTACAAAATATTTCTGAATAAAACATTACAGAATGATGAAATCCTTATATAGTTGTGCATTATGTATGCATGTATATGAGAACTCAATCGGGAGTAAATAATAACTCAAAACATTAAATAATTGCTTAAAACATCTTTTAACATTGTATATTAAAATAAAATTAAACTCAAATGAAATTTGTTCTTTCCACATTTGTCAACAACAAAATTTTAGAATTAGCAGCCAGTGCGCGGTAAGATTGAAATTATTTGAATAAATCAGATTTAATCAAACTTTGTATACAAATGTGAGGTTTCATTTTATCTCAGTTAATTAAAACATTTCACACAAGCAATTTCTAATCCAAATCCTATCACAAAATATACATCAGAATTAAATTCATTTTTGTTACAAGTCTGACTTTTTGAACAGTTAAATTTTGTTATTAATTTGAACTATCACCTAAATTAAAATAACAAATAAATTACAAGTATTATATTCAAATTTAAATATATTTTCCAGGTAATTATAAGAAACAAAAGTATGATATTAATATAGGTGGTGACATATTTTTTTTTATTATTTTACATGTTAAGATGAACTCCACAACATTCTATAACATTCAGTGGTCTTTTAATCATTAATTTTACTAAATTTTCTACTGTTTTCAAACATGAATTCCAGCAGGTCAGCTTTATTAATTGAAAATTTATAGTTACTTTTTATATACATAACAAAATGAACATATTCTCAAAATTTGCAGAAAAGTGTCAAGACAAACACTACAGACTATAAGAATAAAAGGATGTAATCATGCTAGATATTATGTAATTGATAATGTTGAAGATGTTGACAATAGAAAATACATGAGGTAAATAGAGTCTAAGTGGAGATAAATTGCTTACCCTGAAGTGAACCACTTCGCCTTTCCTTTTTTTTGTGTCCACTAGCAGCCACTTTAATATTGGCACTGTCTGGTTCCATGACATTACCAAAGCATGCTGTCATTGTTTCTGCCCGTTCATATAGAGCATTGGAAATCAGGCCAATATTCTTCTCTTTAGAAATCAAAAGCTCCATCAGTGACATCTGCAACGGCAATAACTTCTCCTCCACATCTGTTATCTGTCAATTAAAAAGCAAAATGTTTTCATGTATAACGCTATATAGAATGGTCTCCCTTGAAATAAGACTCCTTAATGAAAATGTAGATATCTCTAATTTCAAAACTAGTGATTTTTTACTCAAGTCAGATGAAAACAAAAATTTAATGAACTTGCCGTTATTTTTTTTAAATTACAGTTGTCATTAAATTTATGAGATTAACTACTTCCCCTTCTGAGATATTCAAATAAATAGCATTCATATTTTTTTTTTAGCTTTTCTGGGTCATTTTATGCATTTCTCAATCCAACATTTAATAAGTCAAGAGAATGATTTGGCATCAAGGATCATTAATAACTTTCAAGTCTTTTTGATGGTAATAGTTGTTATAATAGTTATATCAGGTCCCTAGATATTATGTTTTTTTATTTATAATATCAGATTAATTATGAATTACAGTAGCCAGATTAAGATTGTACTTATCAGACGTTCTAAATATATAAAGCAAAGCTTGTTTTAATTGACGTCAAACACTTCCAGACAATTTAAATTTTAATTAAACTTAATCTAATCTAATGATTTCTTATTTAATTATTATTGATAAAATATTACTTTTTGATTAAAATATATTGAAAAATACGTTTGTTAACGAGTATCAACTTCAAAATTTTGGTTAAAAATCCTGTCCCCCCCCCCGTAAAATCAACAAAGTCATCAATTTTTGTGAAATTTTTAAACAAGTTAGTTCTCAGTTTTAAAAATCTTGCAAAAATAAAATGTATATTTCTGAAATGTTATTTGAGGAAAATTAGCAAATTTAAAGTTTAATTAATCTGATTTGAAACAAATATTACTTACTTTTAGCATAAAAACATAGAAAACTAAGAAAAGCATGGCTTAACCATGGTGACTTGTTTTTTATGGTGTGTTGATCGATTTATTGACAGCCTGACATTTGGAAAAATTAACTAAAGAGGAGCAGAAATGATAAATGTACGAATTCTAAGTGAATTCTTTATTTTTTTTTTTTTTTTTAACTACCCAGTAATTTTTAAAAATTAACAAAATATTTTCAGCAATCTAATGTTTTATTGAATTTTAGGTACTTTACATTTGAAGATGTTTTCTGAAAAGAATATTTAATAATAAAATTGAAAATATTTAGAAATTTGAAAGGATGTTTCAAAATGACATGCAAATAAAAGAAAAAAAAACAACTTCAAAAAGAAATTGAATAAAAATTATAAAATAAAAAAAATTTGTAAGCATTGTTAGGTCAGTAGTTTGTTTTTTTTTTTTTTAATTTAAAAATCAAAGTTTATTTGTAGCTGATTTTTATTTTACTTCCTTAACTTTAGAGGAAAGATAACTGAATTACCATATAAACTCATGTATAAGCCAACTTCATGTATAGTGTGAGCCCTGAATTTTTGGGCATGAATTTTAACCCACACTAGAAGAAAAAAAAAGACCTGTATATGATGCAACTCCTCTAATTTTTGTGTAAAAAAACTGATCATAAAACTTGCACTATACTCAAGTATTGAGTATATGCAGTAAACAATATACTATGTGGTGTTGTAGGAGCAAAAAAGTGAAGTTTGTAGGGCTATGCAGGAAAGATAACAGCTAACATTAGACTTGAAGAGGTGAAGATTTAATTAGTGAATAACATTTCAGAGTTCAGTAGCAGACTTTGGAAAGAACAAGAAATCTAATCCTAAACAGGAAAACAAGGGATAAACTACTCCTGTTCAAAAGACCAAGCAACTGAATTGTAGGAAAAGAAAAGAAGAGAGAATGAAGAAGAAAAAAATAATAAATAATTAGTGAATAAAATTCCCGAGTTCAAGCAGAGACATTAGCAGTATAGATTTGAACCAGGAAGGAATGTGAACTGGATGGTAGGTAAACCTACAGACTCCTATTAGGAGAGGAAAAATAATTTGTGAATAAAATTTTAGAATTCAGGCTAGAAGTATAGAGCTGAATCCAACCTTAGAAGGAACCAGAAACACAATCATAAGCAGCAAAATGTAAATAAATAGTAAATATAATTAGAGATCAGTTCCAAATACATGTGCCAAGAAAGAGTCAGTTATGGAACTGACAACATGACACCAGCCACTAAATTCCAACTTAGTAAAAAAAAAAAAAAAAAAAAAAAAAAAAGCAGGAAATTAATTAACATTTGAACTTTTTTTGTTTGAAGGGGGGGGGGGGAAGCAGAAGAAATATGGTAAGATACACATACAAATAAGTCCAAATTTTTGTCAGACTGTTTAAGCCAACAAAAGATGACCACAAACACATCTACCCATTCAAAAATGAATATGCTTAAATAAATAAAATCAAGTACAGTATAATTAAAATAAAATTAAATAAAAAAAACAATATACAAAAACTTCTTTCTCCCCTGAACTTCATCCATGTTACCCGATCATTTGTGAAAACTGATGATTTCATACCTTTCATACAGTGTCAAGTTGAAAATTGTTTGCATAGCCTTGTAGGTGGTAAATTATTTTCCAGCCTAAAATCAGTTTCCACAGACAAAATGTTACTATCCTTTCACTATTTTCCTATTGCTATTTTCATGGCAGATGTTCAAGTGAACTATATTCCTTGATTATACTAGTTTGGGCATTCACAGCTTAGTCACAGCAGGTTATGTACACCTAGTTGACTCCTTCTCTTTATATTCCATTGGGGAGAAGGAAAGTGTACTCAGATAGCTTTTTCTCCGGAACTGCTGCATTGTAGAATGAACTCCCAAGACAACAATTCCTTGATCACTACAATCTTAACCTCTTCAAGTCTGAAGTCAACAGATCCTCAGAATATGCATCTCTTTCTCCTTCCTTGTATGCCCTTACAACAACTTCATTTAGTAACCCTTTAAGAGGCTATTGGAGCTCATTAAGTGAACAATAAAAAAAGTAACAATTGCATTATACAAAAAACTAAATTGTATAAGAATAACCATTATATATACATTTCATAGTGACTAAAAAATACTGTTTATTTTGGGGATGAGAGAGAGAGATTATTTCTTTTTATAAAATTATTAGCAGGGATACCTGGTGTTGCTCAGAAGATCTTTGAATAATAGTTTATTTTTGGCAATTTATTTATATTTTTCAGCCATCTTATGAAAAATAATTGTTTATTCAATCTAAAAAAATAAACTTCATTGTTTTGTTACAAAATAACTAAATTTAGGCAAAAATCACACTACCAATACCATGTTCTTGGTTTAGTGGTTTCATTTGTATTCAAAAATACACATTTTACTTCTTTAATGTAATGTTTAAAAGTAAAACCTTATTTACTTTAAAAAAAAAAATCTAAATTCCCCTCCCAAATAAATAGTAAATAAGTATTTTTCAAATAAGCAAGGGTCGCTATAATTTCTGCTTGAAAAAAAAAAAAAAAAGTTTAAATAGATCTTAAGTTTATTTAGTTTTATATTAAAAATAATCCCCTCCAAAATAAATAGTAAATAACTATTTTTCAAAGAAGTAAGGCTCACTATAGTTTTTGCTTTAAAAAAAAAAAATGATTAAATTAAATATGTTTAAATATATCTTAATTTTGTTTATTTTATTTAGATTTTAAGTAAATAAAGTTTTACTTTTAAATATTACATTAATGAAACAAACATTTCTCCGTAAATGAATTTAATTACTATTTTGAAAGAGAATAGAAGCAAGATACATCGAGAAATTAATTTTGAAAAGTGATTGTTTAAATTTCAAGTTATATTGAAAGGAAAAAAATGAAAAACTTTACTTAAATAAAAATTAGGAGACAGATATGAGTTATGGTCAACATTAGTTGTGTTTTACGAATTTAACTATATTTTACTTAAATTAATTTTTGAAAACATAAGGCTCGCTATAGTTTTTTGCTTTAAAAAATTCAATTTAAAATTAATTACCTCTTTTTTTATATTAGTTACAAACCAAAAAAAAAACAAAAAAACACAAAACAAAACAATGAAGTTTATTTTTTTAAAGATTGAATAAAAAAAAAAATAATTTTCCATAAGATGGCCAAAAAATATTAATAAGTCAATAATACAAACACACACAACTGCCCTTTAGTGTGATACTGAGTCTATATATATTTATTTTGTTGTTATTATAGTTTTAGCTGGATGGGGACACACACAACCATTTGAATAAATAAGTATTAAACTTTTTGTCAAATAATTATATTTAATATTCTTCTTTAAAATTTACTTTGTTGTTTTAATATTCATTTTTTTTAAAGTTATGCTTTTATTTACTATAAATGTGAAAATAAATTCAAGAGAATAGAAATTTTAAAAATACATGTATAGTGTTTCAAAAATATAAGCAGAAATAAAAAGTAAAAATGAATGGTAATAATAATTAAGAATAAGAATTATTACAGTCCATTTTTACTTTTTAATTCTGAGAATTTTGAATGCATTCTAATGCATGTTCATTTTAAAATATCTTTGTAATTACAAGTCACACGATAATTTTTTTTACAAAAAGCTGGCTTGGGTGATAATGAGTCTAGATATATATATTTATTTTGTCGTTAATTATTGTAGTTTTTTTGTTTTAGCTAGACACACACATACAGACAACTGCCCTTTATATATGTATAGATTTCTAATAATACTGTAAAAAAATCTATATCCTTTTAGGAAAAGGATATTCTTTCATATTGATTTAACAAATACTTTTAGAATTTTATTAAATTCTAAAAAGTTAACATTTTTAACTCAGATTATTTGTATTGTAAATAACTCACCTTGTCTCCTTTGTTATAACTATGCATGATACTAGGTGCCATGACAAGGGACAAATTTCTCACATTCATTTTATTCTGACCAGAAGCAGCAGCAATTTTGGAAAACAAGTTCATGGTGAAACGCAAAGTACTGAGATGTTCTGGAGGAAGCAAGAGACAAAGTTTCACTACAGGGCATTCATCGGATTTTAGAACATCACTGCTATTACTAGTGTTGTTCCAAATCTGCAGGCATTTGAGAAATGAGTCACGGTATAAATTGGTCAGTAATGGTTCACGCAATTCACGAAAAAACTGCTTGATGAGGCTGGTAATGTCAAACACATTTGCTGATGATACATCACATTCATTTTCAATTTCTTCCTATTGTTAAAGAATAGAAAACATAGATCATAAGAGTCATATGAGATTTTTACTATATGGTTTGTATACTTCAAAATATGATCTGACCTTGAAATGTACATATTGTCAAATTTTAAATTCATGAAAAATATAAGCAGTAAATGCCATTTTCTGTTTCTATTAGTTTCTAAACTGGTGGTTCAAAATATCAGAAATACTTTCAAAAATATACTCTAAAAATGCAAGCTCATTCATTAAGAATTTTAAGAAATGTCAATCAAATGTAATCAACAAAATGATAAAGCTTAGCTGAAACATGTGCATGTGAAACTTAAGACAGAATTTAACAAGATACATCTGAATGTAACTGATTATCTATAAAAAAAGTACAATCTTGACATCATTTGTCACCTGTGCAAATATACATTTTCAGCTTTAAAAGGATGTAAATAGTAAGGATAGGGTGACAACCACAAAGCAAGTTAAACTTAATGTTAGTGACTAAATATACAGTGGGCTATGATAAGTTCTTAACCACTCTTGATTACAGCAATTTTGGCTTGTTTAATAACATCTTTTTTTTTCAGACAATACTGTGTTAGTATCAAGCTACTCTCATCTATGAACAATAGTTGACTTATATCTTGCAATGAAAGTTTGTGGAAGTAAAGAAATTAGTGAATTTCAACAAGGGCAAATAATAGGATGGCATCAGTGTGGCAAGTCAAATAGAGAAATTGCTAGGTTTTTCCAGGTTAATCATCAAACGGTTAATAATATTGTCCAGAAATTTAATGAAGAAGGCCATTGTCATATGGAACGACATTCAGGAAAACCAAGCATTGTGTCTGAGTGAATGAGAAGGGCACTGAATAGGGAAGTCATCAGAAACCGTTGTCAGAGCATCAGAAATGTCACCATATGTGGTGAGAAAGACTCTGAAAGAGCTAAGCTATCAAAGAAGAGTTGCAAGAAAGAAGCCCTTGATTTTAGAGGTTAACAATGAACCTTCATATGGACTGGGTGAGAGAATTCAAGAGCAAAGATTATGAATTTTGGCAGTCTGTAATTTGGTCAGATGAAAGTAAATTCTGCCAATATTCTAATTCGAGATTAGTTTATGTTTGAAGAAATCAGAATGAGACTTGGAACACTGAATGTCTGCAGGCAACCATGAAACATGGAGGGATTGGAGTAATGGTGTGGGGCGCTGTCTGCTTTGGAGGGAAATCTGAGCTGATTCTTGCTGATGAGCACTTGAATGGTCCAAAATACTGTCAAATATTAGAGAAAGGACTACTCCCACTATTTGAAACCAATCAGATTGACAAGAATGCCTACCTTTTTCAAGAAATGGAGTGCAATGTCATATGAGCAAAGTAGCAAAGGCCTGGAAGGAATTGCAAGGAATCAAAAATCTTAACATGAATCCAATAGAGCGTGTTTGGGAGCACCTTGACTGAAGACTTCAAGAGTGTGCAACCAAAATCATGTCAGTGGCAACCCTTAAAGAAACATTGTTAAAGGAGTGGCAAAGTATGGCTCAGACGATTCTTGATAACTTGATCAAATCCATGAAAAATTGAATACAAGCACACTGACACTAGCAAATGGAGGACCTACGCCATATTAGTTCCAAATACTGTTTGTTTATGTTGAATAGGAATTACGTAATTAAATTTTAAAATTGGATGTAGTTTATTTCTCCTGGCTAAAAACTTTTCTTAGGCCACTGTATTTAACGAGTAAGTTAAATTTCTATAATCAATTTTTAAATGTGAAATATTTTTGCCAAGCATTATACTTGAAGTGTCAAGAAAACTGCTGAATTTAACCGGTAAGAGATGAAAAATTTAAAACTAAATATGGTACCAATGAAGAATTGAAATCTAAAATGTGAAAAATTAAACAGTTTATATTACAAGCAGAAGAGAGGCCTGAATGCGGCCATGAATTACATTTCTACCAAGACAGAAAAAAAAAAAAAAAAAAAAAAAAAAACACTTTCTATTTCTGGGCATTACTTAAGTTAATTTAAAATTAGTACAACTATCCTTACTTCAACTTTTTTTTGCCGACTCAAAGATCCAGATTTTCTAAAGATTCCTTCCACAAAAATATTCTGTTCAATAATGGCTGCAGCACGCACAAGGAACCTGTAAAAGTTAAGTTTCAAAATCCATTTTTTTCTTCTTGCTTTTTCAAAAGAAAAAAAATATATTTTTAACTGAAATGAAAATCAATCTCATTATATATATATTATATATATATATTTTTAATCTTTTTGTACAATCAATTTCCTGCCACAAAGAATGAGATATCAAGATACTAGCTGGCTAAGAGCAAAGAATCTGTTTTTAATGACAAACTCTGCTACTATTGTTTCATTATCTTAGAAACAAGAGATAGCACTAGAAAATCTTCAATACCTTCTTTTGGAGATTGCTCAATGAAAAGATTTAATCAAACTTTAAACAATGAAAACTTTAATTAATCTAAAAAAAAAAAAAGTCTTAAAGCTCTTATTTACTATTACAAAGAATAATTAAAATTCAAATAATCAAATATACAAAAGTTTTTATATCTTACGAAGGTACATGTCCAAATGGCTCAAGGTAATAACAGGGAACATAACCCAAATAATTCTTGAAATGTTGCACTTTTTGAGTTTCCTGAAAAGAGAAATTAAAAATAAAGTTAAAATCAATATCTCTTATGTATTGATATAAAAGTTTTATATAAATTCATAGCTTCATTATTTAAAGTATTTTCTCTTTCCATTCAGCACTTAATTAAACAGTATTTTCAGAAATATTTCTGCTGCTAAACATTTCGTCATATATAATTTGTTGCTGACTACTTATCTGCTATCCCTATCATTTGATTTATACACACACACAAAACATGCCCTATTTTATATAAACAAACAATTATTTGCAAGAACTGATAGGCTATTTGGTCATCAAAACAATTTAGAACTAATGTTGCCCAGTAAAACATACGCAAACACTGACTGGGAGAGTGATCACTTCCCAGTAAAGGCAAAATTGCAGAAATTAAAAGAAACCCAAAGCAATGATTAAGCTACAATATGAAAAGCTCCAAAACAACTGCACTTGCAAACAAGCATATGCAGCTGCATTTAAGAACAAGTACAAACCTTTGGAACATGTTGGGTATTCGAAGTTGAACATATTAATTGAAGCATCAGCAACAACAGTAAAAGAAAAGAGAAAAAGAAGTGAAAGTCTATAAGATTAAACAAAACAAAGCAAGTTAAGGAGGAATGGCTAAATAGGAAATAAGAAATAAAAATAAATAATTTAGACTGGAGGACACAGATGTTACAGGAAATTCAAACAAAAATACTGTAGGGGAAAATGATGGAATAAATATATAGAACTAATTTACAACAGCAGAGGAGAGAAACCTATAATACATAAAAAACACAGAACCTATTATAGTAAAATTCGAAGTAAGAATGACAATTGTCTAAATAAAATAGAACAAAACAGCAAGATTAGATGAAATTATCAGAGATGTTGGCAGCCTATGAATTTGAGATTGGCTATTGAGGTTTGGCTTGGTTTATTTCACAGCATATCAACCAATTGGGTCATTTAATGCCAAAATTTAATGTTTTTTTTTTTTAAAACTAAAATCTTGTATTTAAACAGCTAAAAGAATTTTGTTTTAAATAGTAAGACTTGTTTGTTATGGTAATTTTTTTCATTATATTTTTGGAATCAGTTTAATTTCTCCTAGGAACTGAAATATGTAAAAATGAATCAGTATTTTGAAAGTTCTTTTAAGTTTCTTGTTTGGTAATATTTTAAGTGGATTAAATTAAAATTGCTGCAGTTTCTCAGTATGTATTTTATGGTGACTTTGCTCTTGGCATAGTATACATAATGGAGGATCTTTTATTTTTAGGATATACAAATGGGTTATGGTAGTATGTCCAATATGGAGTCTGAACACAATCACTTCTTCTCTTCTAGTTTGGTGTTTTTGATGCCATTCTCCTATAGTTGGTTTAATTTTGAACAAATTATTGTTTGGGCAGAAGTTCCATAGGTTCTGCCACTCCTCTCTAATATATTTATTAAGCGTTGGTTTCAGGTCTGTATATGGGATTTTGGGATTTTAGGTATCCAGTGTGTTTCTTATAATTGATGCACCCTTGTTTATTAAGCGTATGGTGGCAGAAGAAAGAAGAAACAACAAATGTTTAAAGAAACAATGTAACATGTAGCAAATGATAAATTAGTGTAGATGAAAAAGTGATTGTAAAAAGCATCTGCTGAGACATACAGAAGGAGAGGAAGGATGAGTTTGTGACTCACTAGAGGATGAGCTATCTCTTGGAGATGGGAGGTTGCTTTCTGATGAACTCAGGCCAAGATGCCATTCAACTGATGAAAATGCCCATTTGATGTCCTTTCTTAGGCTCAAATTAGCTCCGGTTTTTATTTTGTTTCTTTAGATGGAAGTGGGTGCTATTGGATGGAAATTCTGGATTGTATTGCTTATTTTTTCTTTGCATGTGTGAGTAAAAATGGAATGTATGTGTGGAGCCTTACACAGTTGACAGAATTTTAGTTCAGTTTTGGGTGTTTGGAGAATTCACATCCAGCCAGTGCTGGAAATTAGTGTAGCATGAATCAGAAGGTCTGGTTTTAAGAAGAATGTAACGCCTTACAGCAGGATCTGCTCTACTATTCTCAGTGATACCTATAATGGTTTGGTATCCAGCAGAAGAAAATATCTCTATTTAAGCTATTGATCCTGTTGAGTAGGTTAATGATAAGAGTTTGACATTATTTTTGCTTTTTTAGTGCTATGATCACTGATAAAGAGTCAGTGTATATATAATAAATTTTTTATGTTTACTTGAGGGCCAAGTCAATAGCTTTCACCAATGGCAAGAAATACGGGAGCTTTATCTGGAAGTGGTTTCATTAATTTTAATTTGTGGTGGACAGTTGTACTTTATCATCATCTTTTAATCTGTCTATATAGATGGACAGGAGATGGAGAGTAATACTTCATGGAATGTGACTGGACTGGTTTTTGATTTTTGGAACTCACCGGGTTTTAATATGATGTTTGGTTGTTTTATCACCCAAGCTGTTTTAGAGTTGATGGACTCATGGATTTGTGCAGTATTTGTTTTTTCTCAATGGCATTTTTTTATAAAGATGCTAAATGGTTTGATGGCATTCTTTTCTGTTAAAGAGATCAGTATATTTTGGCTGAAATGTACATTTATTTGATGGGCAGGTTGAGAGTTTAATATAATACTGAAGAGCCAGTTTTTCCCATTGTATTGCTAATGGAGGCTCATGTGCTTCTGTGTATAAGCTTTCCACTGGAGATGTGGTTAAAGTTCTTAGGGCTATTTTTAATCCTTGATGATGAACTGTGTTGAGTTCTTTTATGTATCTTTTTCTTGCTTCACTATATATAAAGCAAGCATAATCAAGTTTTGATCCAATTAACGTGTGGTACATTTTGAGTAATGACTTTTTGCTTGCTCCCAAGTCTCAGTGAGCAATAACTCTAAGTAGTTGTGGAGTTTTCTGGCATCTCAAGTATTTTATATGGTATGTAAATGTTAATTTCTTATCAAGTATAATGCTCAAGTATTACTACTGGAATTATATTGTCCAGTTTTAATGTTGGATTGTTATGTATTTTTTGAAGCTGGCAGAAGTGCATTCATTTTATTTTTTTCTTTTGAAAATTTAAACCCATTCTCCATAGGCCATTTGCTAATTTTATTAAGACATAGCTGGAGATGTCACTCTATAGTGTGCATGTTTTGATCAATAGTAGATAAAAAAAGTCATTCACATATAGGGCACTATCTGTTCCTGTATTTATATTTTTGACAAAATTATGGATTTTAATACAGAACAGGGTAACAGAGAGAATGCTCCCCTGTGGGAAACCTTGTTCCTGATCCATTTGTTGATATGGTGTCATGTAAACACACCTTAAAATGTATGTTTTGCAAAAAGCTACAGATAAATGGTATTCTGTCTTTTAGCCCAAAGTATTGTAGGTCTCTTTTTACACCATGCTTCTTGGTTGTATCATAAGCCTTCTTCAAATCAAAGAAGACTGCCATCAAATGTTCTTTTTTTATGAAGGATTTTTGTGTCATTGTTGCCTGGTATAGTTATGAGATTATTAGTTTCCAGATACCATATTATTAGTCAGCTATTAATCATCCTTTTGAGCATCTTACAGATACAACTGGTGAGTGCTATTGGTCTGTAACTTGTTGGATCTGTATTGTCTTTGCCAGGTTTGGGTACTGGAAGAACTGTGGCTTGTTTCCAGGATTTTGTCATTGCTGATCCATATGTAGTTGAGAGTTTGGAGAAGGTAGTCTAATGATACTTGAGGTAATTGTTTTAGGAATTGAAATTGTATTTCATCAAGGCTGGCAGTAGTGTCATGGCTTTGTTTAGCAATTTTTGTAGTTCTAGTTTTGTGAATGGTTAGTTGTAAGTTTGGTAATTTTTTTCTTTTCTTGGCTCCGTTTGATGGTTTGGAATGCTTTGCAGTGGTTTTTTGATGGAGAGTTTTTTTTCAAAGGTTTCAGCTAGGCAGTCTGCTATGTCTTTTTTATGTTCTGTATTAAAATCATTTGCATTAGTGTAGGAAAAGTGCTCAAGAAGGTTTTGGGCAGTTTTTTTCTGTTATTTTAGGTTTATTTTGAATACAAAATCTCTCCAGGATTTCCATTTGGATTCTTTGAGAGTTTTACAGGCTATAGCTCTACTTTTTTGTATTCATCTTGTTTTCATTTGTAAGTTATTTTTTAAAATTCTATAAGTTTGCTTGGTGTGTACAAATTGCTTTCTTGCAATCATCATCAAACTATGGCTTACTAAGTTTTGAGTGTAGGAGCTTTTTTTTTTAATGGTTTCATTGGCTATTGAAAGTAGAGTATCAGTAAAATGTGTTATTAATTCTTCCTTATGTTTCTTTCTGGTATCAGCTTGAGTCTGCAGGGATTTCTTTTAATTCAGTCCAAAGATTACATTAGAGTGCTTTATCATTTAGTTCAGGGATTGGGTTTTCTAGTATAATTGGGAAGTGACCACTTCCACATGTATCATTATAAATTGACCATGTATAATCTCTGTACATACTAGCTTCACAGATTGTTGAGTCTATGGCAGAGTATGTTCCTGTTGCTGGACGTAGGTATGTATTGCTTTTGTTATTTAGGAAATATAGTTGTCTTTGATTTTATAATGTTTCTAAGATTTTGCCTTAGTTGTTTCTTTACTCCTGCATATTATGTTATGACTTAAAGTCACCCATTAATATGAAGGGTTTTGGTAGTTGCTGTATTAATTTATGTAATTCCGTTTCATTAGGGACTTCATCAAGAGGTATGTATGTGTAGCAGAAGGTTATTGTTTTGTGAAGTGTAGCTGTTATTGCTATCACCTGCAAGTTTGTATTCAGTATTATTTCACTATGATTTTTAGTGATTATTGATGAGCCTCCTGAGGCTCTATCAGCTTGTTTGATGAAATTGTAGGCAAAGTAATATTTTATGTTGAGAGTGTCTTTTCCTTTCAGGTGAGTTTCCAGTAAAAGTATAATTGCTAGGTTGAAGGTTAATTAATTCATTGATATTAGTTCTGAC